CGTGCCCGGAAAATCCGCCCAACTATCGTGCCTTCCGCGGGGCAAATGCTCCGTGTGAACAGGGCCCAAGTGTACTATCCACTGTGTGGCTCAGATGCCTGTGAATAATCCCGTGTTAACTCTCCACTGAAACAGGCTCCCATGTTTTTTTTAACAAAATATGTATATTGCAATCAAAATTATTTTAGTGAAACTCACTGCAATCCTAAACAGTTATATTGTTCTAAGTAGGGATGGGAACGAACCACAAAAAGGGAGCGGTGGTGCAGGCAGTAGAACGCCTGCTTTAAACATCTATGAGCAGCCATTGTGGCTGTTCGAATACCACCGTGGCCGGAGTGAGCTCCCGGCCTTCATCCCAGCTCCCGCCAACCCAGCGGGCCGAAAGCTAAATAACATCTGTGGCGAGTAGGCAAAATGGGTACCTGCCCTTAGACGGGTAGGGGGCACCCACCTCTGTCGGATAGATGGCAGTGTGGCATCGGTGGCGGCAGCATGACCACGGCGGCGGCGGCGGCGCGACATCGGCGGCGGCAACCCTGGTGGAGTAGATTGGAGCGATCCCTGGTGGCCAGAGGGAGGCAGCGAGCAACAACGAGCGACGACGGGCGGCTGAGATCGAGGCGCGCAGGCGACGACGGGCGGCTGGGATCGAGGCGCGCAGCAATGACGCAGGCACGGCGGTGCCTGTTGGACAGAGCCGGCCAGCGAAGGGGCTGTGCGCCGCGAGGTACTGCTGTGCTGTGGTCGCCGAGGAGTATCGCGAACCAGGAGGGGACCGCGCCGCGCCGACCCAGGTTGCCGAGAAAAGAAGACAAGCGCCGTGCTGAACCAAGAAGACATACTCCACCGAAAATGGGTGCTGGTAGGCTGTCCCCCCCCCCACTTTCAATGTGTGGCCCAAGATAGGGAAATTAAGTCACTAGGACGACAAAGTGTTAGCCGCCCAGAGACCCCTTCGGGGGTTAGGGCGGGGTATCAAGCCTAAGGTAAATAAAATAAAATAAAATAAAAAAATGCAGCTTGGTTCATGGTTGAACTGGGTGGTTCACTGGTGAACTGAACCAGCTTATCGTTTGTGTCTCCCAGCAAACCCCACTGACATGGATCACTGTTCCTTTAAACGGGGTTTGCAGAAAGCCAGAAAAAACAGCTGAGCAGCAGAGAGCGCCCTGCTCTCCACCACTCAGCCATTTTGGACTTTCTTCTGCAGTCCCTTTAAAGCCTGAAAATGGGGACTCAACTTTTTCCTTTCACAGTAGTATCACCTGCAGTTTAGCACATCTCTGTACCATTGGATATTGCACTACTGTGGCACTGTACCAGTCATTTGCAAATGGATAGCATTTGCAAATGGGTGGACAAGACAAACCATTGGCAAACTATTCATCATTATCATCGTGGTCGTAGTCGTATGGCAGTGTGTGTGGCATAGCCAGGCGATTGTCTGGCAGTTCTTTTAGTGTTATACACCACTAGATAGTGAGAGACGTTTCAGAGGTGGTTTGCCATTGCTTGCCCCTGGCATTCCTTGGAGGTCGCCCATCCGAATACTAGCCAGGGCCGACCCTGCTTAGCTTCCAAGATCGGACGAGATTGGGCTAGCCTGGGCTACCCAGGTCAGGACAGCAAAGGATTGTTAAAAAGGTAAAGGTACAGGTTCCCTTGCTCGAAAGCCAGTCGAGTCCGACTCTAGGGTTGCGGTGCTCATCTCCGTTTCAAAGCCGAAGAGCCAGCGCTGTCCGAAGACGTTTCCATGGTCATGTGGCCGGCATGACTAAACACCAAGGCGCACGGAACGCTGTGACCTTCCCACCAAAGTGGTACCTATTTATCTACTTGCAATTTCTTGCTTTCGAACTGCTAGGTTGGCAGGAGCTGGAACTAGAGACGGGAGCTCACTCCGTCTTGCGGCACCCGGGTCTCGAACTGCTGAACTACTGACCTTCCACAGCCTGCAGTTCAGCGTCTTAACCACTTGAGCCACCGCAGCTCCTAAAGGATTGTTACAGGGACATGTAAGGGAAGATCCTCACAACTGTTTTAACCAGAAAGAACTGCTGAGAAAATACCATATTTCACAAAAACATAATTTATTTATCTAGGACATTTTTATCCCACTTTTCCTTCAAGGTGTAGATGGCAGCATACATGGGCATCTCCTCCTCCTTTTGACCCTTTCCCAGTGTGGGGTAGTGGTTAGAGAATAAGACTAGGATTTGGGAGCCCCAGGTTCAAATCCCCACTCTGCCATGGAAGCTTGCTGAATGACCCAGGCCAGTCATCCTCTCTCTTAGCCTGACCCACCTCACAAGGTAGCTGTTTTGAGGATAAAATGGAAGAGGGGAGAACAATATTGTAAGTTGCTTTGAGATCCCATTAAGAAGAAATGCAAGGTATTAAAGAATTCTTTTAAAAACACAACCCTGTGATGTAGGTGAGACGGAGAGATTGACTGGGACCAAGGCCATCCAGAGCACTTCCATGGCAGAGTGGGGATTCGAAACCGGGTCTCTCTCAGATCTTAGCCTGACAGCTTAACCACAACACCAGGCTGGCCTCTGACAAACAAAGGAGACCTTTCAGTTTAGCTTCACAATTCATCATGGAACTACTTGGAAGAGCAAGTCCAGAAAGCAACAGAAAAGAGAGCATTTCTAGAACTAAACTTTATTGTGTTTGTGTCTGCCCCCCAAGGTTTCCCTTTCCCTTCTAAGAATGTATGACAGATAAGGTCATTGGTCAACCAAATCTGCAAGAAGAAGACAATAACCAGGAAAAAAAGATCTCTGTGATGCAACATCCTGCGCATGGATGGCCCACACTAGCAACACAGAGCAGCTAAGAGGCCCAACTGGAATGGCAAAGGCTTCTTCGTGCTGAAGGCTGGAAAAGATGGCATCTTTCAACCTCAATTGCCTTTCTAAAATTGCTATAGGACTTTAATATACTTGGAACCAAACTTGTTGGGAACAAAGGGAGAGCAGGAGATATTTATGGGGTACACCTCCTACCTCTTGCTCCTCTTTGGAGTCATCATTGGCTCAGAGACTCACAAAATCTGCAGGTCTGGTTTAAGTAGGAGGTAAGGGCCTCCTACTGGCCTGGGTCCCCCGCTCCCTGCTACCATTCAATAGGCCAGCAGGAGAAAAATGAGATGAGGGAATTGGTGTCCTTCCATGTTGTGATGTTCCTTCTGGAATGAATAGGAAGTGATATCAGCACACCAGGGTAATGTTCTAGGATTTGTCCAAAATTCTATGGTAAAACCATACAGTGTCGACCCCATGCTAAAGCATTACCCTGATGTGCTGACATCACAAGAAATGTTCTCTCACCAGAGAAAAGCTTGCCATGTTTTCAAGCCAAGTAAAGGGTTAAAGCGAGTGAGTATTCATTCTAGAGGGGCTGCCAGCTGTTACCGGCACCCTCAGATTCCAGGCATCATGCGGGGTGAATGCATGAGACCAAAATGAGGTGGGTGAATTCACTGGCCCCTAAGAGCAACCTGGGCCTGGGAAATTTTGTTCCCTCCATTTCTTTTCCCCCTTGGTGACCCTTATTTCTTCCACACTAACATATTTTGTCACTCATATTTCCCTATCGCTTTGGGTGCCCCCCCCTTTCCACATGTGGTTTGCTCCCTCTGGGACTACTAGAGGGAGCATAACACATGGGGGGGGGGGAACCCTGAAGCAATAGGGGCAAACGAGTGACAAAAATGTCAGTGCGGACTTGGCCCTTGTCTACAAGTAAGCTGACAAGTTTTGTCCGTACTTTGTTCCCATACAAGGCTGTTTACAGGGTAGGGTTGCCAAGTCCGTCCTCATTGCGGAGTGGGGGACTCCTGGGTTGATCCCAGACCGCGCACCGCATCGCATCCACGTCACCAGGAAGTGACATGACGCCGCCGGGCATGCTGGGGGTGGGACCACAACCATCTGAGGGGAAAACATAGAGTTTTCCCTCGGATGACCGTGGCCCCGCCCCCAGCATGCCCGGCATGGTCACATCACTTCCTGGTGATGTGCACGTCGGGGTGGAGTTCTCCCCGGGGCCTGATCTGGCTGCGGCGGGGAACGGGCCTCTGGGGCAGGGGTTTCCCCACCCCCTGGAGGGACTTGGCAAGCCTATTACAGGGTAACGCAAACATATGAGAGAATCTTAGCCCCAGTGATTTACGATCTGGATTGTGACCAGGAGAGATGGAGAATTAGCAGGGAATTAAAACTCAATGCCACTTGATCTACAGACATTAACAAAGGTTCATGCACATTTCTGTGCTATAAAAAGCTTTATTCTGTTGGTTTTGGCAGGACAACCCTTTTCTATAGTTTTTTAAAGCTCTTTGCAAACCCCCATGTGATTAAATGCATGGCCTCAGATCTAGCTTTACCCTTCATCAGAGATACGGCACCACCTCCTGCTTGAATTGCCATCCCGAGGAGGGCAACTAGTGGGGAATTTGGGTGTGTGTGTGTGTGCAGGGACCTTCCTCTTCCCACAATCCCAGCCTCATGATGTCACTTCTGGTGTGAACAGTGCTTGTGGTTTCCTTTTTTGTTGTTCTTCCAGGACAGTGTGATGAGTTCCTATCCTTCCTCCTTGCATGCTCCTCCTCTTTAAAGGTGTGTGTGTGTAGTGGAATGGACATTTTTTTGGCAACCCCAACTCTGGTTTGAGAAATTCCTGGAGATCTGAGGGTTTGTAGAGGAGGAACCTCAGTGAGATATAATGGTGTAGAGCCCGCCCTCCAAAGCAGCCATTTTCTCCAGGGGACCTGATCGCTCCAGTTTGGAGCTCAGCTGTAATTCCAGGAGAACACCAGGTTCCACCTGGAGGTTGGCAGCCCTATACATTTGAAGCATTCCCATTTTGGATCTTGAGCTAAAGATTTCCCAACCAAAATGTGAATCCATAATCGTGCATTGCATCTTCCAAATCCAAAACTTGCACTGAGAAATAAGGAAATCCACCGGATTCCAAATATCTGTGCAGATTCATTCCACTTCTTTCTGGGAGTCATCTTGCAGAGTCTTTATGTTCCTTGGTGCAGCGGTCCTTGTTTTTTGGCATTCTGTCTGAGCAACATTAACTTGGTATTTACCTTGAAGATATGAACTCGAGTACTCTCCAGCTCCTTCTCCTTCATCATTGTTGGTTGGACTTTGGCAGCAGGTCCAGCGGCACCAGGGTACTAAAGTCTGTAGTCTGAGGCGCATACGGTTCCAACAGTCAGTAAAAGTTTGACGGATGGCCTTGGAGGAGAAGTAGAAGATGACAGGATCTATGGAGGCATTGAAGGCACTGAAGAGGAAACCTTCCATTCTCCAGGGAGGTCCCTTGTTCTGTATGAAGCCCACGATGTGGGAAACGTTGAAGGGGCCAAAGCAGATGACAAAACTGACCAAAGTGGCCACGGCCAGGCCCACGGCTCGTTGCTTCTTGCAGGCTGGGAAGTTGGGCAGGGAGTTCAGGATCTGGATAACTTTCACATAGCAGAAAAGAGTGATGATGAAAGGGAGGCAGAAGAAGACGAGGCAGATTTCCAGGCGGACAGGGAGGATGACGTCAGGGGAGAAATTCTCATAGCAATGGGAGGCATTAGAGGAGTTTGGATGGCTCCCCTTTGGATCTTGGTGTTTGGCAACGTAGATAATGCCGTAATGGGAGATGACCAGCAACCAGATGAAGATGCTGGCCATGATTGCATAGGCTGGCCTGCGGTTCAATTTATACCTGATAGGATGTCCAACAGCCAGGTAGCGATCCACGCCAACTGCTGTGAGGAAAAGGATACTGGTGTAGACGCTGCCATAGAGGAAGTAGCTGGTGAGCGGGCAGAGCAGAGGAGAGAGAGGCCAAATCATGTAGGAGGTGACCTCGATCATTTTGAAGGGGAGAAAAAGGAGAAGGAGAATGTCAGAAACAGTAAGGTTGAACAAGAGGATGTCTATGGGGGCTGGCTTCTTGCGGACTTTCATTATCTTGGACATGTTCAGCAGTAATGTGTAGAAGGCCAGGAGGTTGGAAGGGAGGCCAGTCAGGAGGATGAAGAGGCAGGCAACAAGGTCCACAGCCTCCAGGACCATCATCTTAGCTTCTCTAAGGGAAGGAAGGGATTATAAGATATCAAAATATATCCAGAGAAGAGATGCTCCCGAACTCTGTAAGGAGCTACGGACGTATGAAGCTGCCTTATATTGAAATACTCTTGGTCCATCCAAGTCATTATTGTCTGCTCATACTGGCCGTGGCTCTCCAGAGTCTCAGGCTGAGGGGATTCCACTCAGCCTCCATCATGTCCACTAGCTCATGCCCAGCACAATTATTTAGGGTAATTAGATCTTTGACATCCCTCATGGAAAGAAATAAAAAAGTTAGTACTTTGGCCATTAGCTGTGAGGCAATTCCAAGCTTTTTTGTGGACAAAGTTTTGTTGCTGTCTCGTGACCTACCCGCCAATGTTGATACAGAAGAAGAAGAGAAGAGATTGGGTTTATACCCCGCCCTTCGCTCGGAGTCTCAGAGCGGCTAACAACCTTCTTTCCCTTCCCCTCCCCACAACAGACACCCTGTGAGGTAGGTGGGGCTGAGAGAGCTCTGACAGAAACTGCTCTTTTTCAAGAACAGCTCTGACAGAACTATGGCTTACCCAAGGTCATCCAGCAGGTGCAAGTGGAGGAGTGGGGAATCAAACCCAGTTCTCTCAGATTAGAGTCCGCGCACTTAACCACTACACCAATTTGGCTGCCTTTGGATTCAGTTTTTGACAACTTCAGCCTGCTTTCTTCTGCTGATGTTGACAGGATCCTGGGTGCTGTTAGGCCAACCGCATGCCTTTTGGATCTGTGTCCCTCATGGCTGGTGAAAGCCGGCGATGAGAGGATACGGGGCCCACTGATAGACATTACCAATCTGTCCCTGGAGACAGGGGTCAATCTAGATGGTCTGAAAGAGGCTGTGGTGGTACCACTCTTGAAAAAGCCATCTCTGGATCCTTCTGATCCTTCTGATCCTGCCAATTACTGCCTGGTTTCGAACTTATCGTTTCTGGGTAAGGTAATTGAGAGAGCAGTAGCTGAGCAGCTCCAGAGCTTCATAGATGACACATCAGCACTGGATCCATTCCAGTCCGGCTTTTGCCCCAGCCACAGGATGGAGACAGTGCTGGTCGCCCTGACAGATGATCTCTACAGACAGCTGGACTGAGGCAGCTCAGCACTGCTGCTGTTGCATGATCTCACAGCAGCATTCAACACAGTCGATCGCAATCTTTTGACCCACTGCCTTGCCAACGTGGGAGTCTGTGGGGTAGCCCTGAAATGGTTCTTCTCTTTTCTCCTTGATCGGGGACAGAGGGTGGCACAGGGAGAGAGGGTGTCGACTAGGTACCCCTTAACATGTGGGGTGCCTCAGGGGGCAATCCTCTCTTCAATGTTATTTATCACCTATATATGTCCCCTTGCCCAGCTGGTGTGGAGTTTTGGGCTGGGGTCTCATCAGTATGCTGGCAACACCCAGCTATACCTGTTATTGGATGGCCGCCCAGATACCGCCCCACAAAATTTGACCGTGGGTTTGGACCCTATGGTGGGATGGTTCAAAAAGAGTAGGCTGAGTCTGAATCCAACAAAGGCAGAGGTTCTATGGCTGGGGCCCCCCTTAGGCTTGGGGCATAGACTTCCCGCTCTTGACGGGGTGCCATTAACACTGGCACAATCTGTCAAGAGTTTGGGCATGGTCCTGGAGGCCTCCTTCACTATGGAGGCCCAGGTCACAAATATTGCCAGGCTGGCATTTCTCCACCTGCAACTAGCCCCTTTCCTGTTGCACCCTGACCTAGCCACAGTAATCCATGCAATGGTCACTTCCAGGCTAGACTACTGTGACTCACTCTATGCTGGCCTGCCCTTGAGACTGGCCCAGAAACTCCAACTGATCCAGAATGTGGTGGAGCGAGTCCTGATGGGGCCATGGATGGCACATATACAACCTGTGCTGCAGCAGCTACAATGGCTTCCGGTGGAGTACTGAGTCAGTTTCAGAGTTTTGGTATTGACCTTTAAGGCCGTGAGCAGTCTGGGAGCCACGCATCTTCGGGACTGCCTCCTCTGGTATGTCCCCAGGAGAGCATAGCACTCTGCTGAGAACAACTTACTGGTGATCCCTGGCCCCAAAGATAGCTGGCTGTCCTCGACCATAGCCAGGGCTTTCTTGACCCTGGCTCCAACCTGGTGGAACTCTCTGCAGAACACTGCAATTCCACAGGGTCTATAAGGCAGAGATGTCCCACCAGGCTTTTGGTTGAGGACAGCAGTGGTTTTCCATCATGGCTGGCACTCTCCCCTTTTTCTTCCATATTCTCAGGGCTATTTTTGGGCAGGAACGCACAGGAACGCACAGGAACGGAGTTCCGGCTGGCTCCCGAGTTGGCCACGCCCAGCAGGAACTCATTAGCATAATAGGCCATGCCCAAAAGCAGAAACTCATTAGGAGTGGCTACATTAGGGGCGTGTGGCCTAACATGCAAAGGAGTTCCTGCTACAAAAAAGCCCTGGGTTTTGACAACAAACAAGGTAAACAGAATAAGAAGCAAAAGGTGGGTGTGTCTGGATGACCACACTTCTGCAAACATGGGGTGTGTGGCCTAATATGCTAATGAGCTGTGCTTTCAGGGGTGTGGCCTAATAAGCTAAGGAATTTCTGCTGCTGGGTGTGGCCTATTATGCTAATGAGTTCCTGCTGGGCTTTTTCTACAAAAAGAGCCCTGCATATTCTTCCATTTCTGCCTCCTTTTTACCCCACCTACGAGGCCGCAACACAATCCAGTATGGGTTTGAGAACAGATTAGTAACACCATTTTGAGATTAGTTTAAAGATGTAAGGAATGTTATTTATTAACTTTAATTTTGTCTTCTCTCTGTTGTTTCTAACTTTTGTTGTACATCGCCCAGAGCCCTGTGCATACAGGGATTGGGTGATTCACAAATTTAAAGTATGTATGTATGTATGTATAAATAAATAAATAAATAAATAAATACGTAATATGCAAGATCCTCCTAGCTCCTGATAATAATGGGGCTCTGGCATTCTGCACCAACTGCAGTCTCCAAGTTGACTTGGAGGGGAGATGAATGCAGAGTGCATTACAGTAGTCTAGCCTTGATGTTACTATGGTGTGGATCTCTCCATGCACTTAAATTTTAAAACTGAAATCTGGAAAAAAATAACAACACCTAACATTCAATCTTTGAATTGTGATTTATTTTTTTGCCAAATGTCAAACGTGTGCAAAATTTCATCAAACTGTGACCTCGCGTTGAGAATGTTAACTTATTTCATTAGAGTGTGTGACTTCGCGTCGAGAATGTTAACTCATTCCTACACGATCCCATCAGTGAAACCTAACAGCGAGTCTACATATTACATACCAACAGATTTAGCAAATCAACCTGTCTATAGCTACACCCACTCATGGTTGGATATTGTTTGCAACTGAATTTTCCAATGTGGACATGTCAATTGAGCTGCAAACGATTACTAGAGTGCAAAAATACCACGTGCATCCCAGATCTATCTGTCTGTCTTTCTAAATATTAATTCCAGAAGATTCCCCCATCTTACGTGTGTTCTAGATTGACAGCTGCTCCATTCAGTCTCCCAGGAAAAGAGCAATTGCAGCCTTCCAAGGATGTCCCAGTCGAAGGTCTACTTTCTGCCTTCCGAAAGCAGTCAGTTGAATCTGGTCAAATGCACTGTAAAAATCCAGTGCACTGCAGGGAACACAGCAGGCTGCTCTGTCATATTAGGAGGAAGCCAGCCACTCAGGGGCAAAGGAACTTGGGAAGAAATGATCAGCGATTACTGCTTTACCTAGAAACTGCTGGAACAGTCAAGAGGAACTCACGTTGAATGACATTCTTACCAGCAATTGTTTTTTCTTCAGAACTTCAAAAAATGTTTTAGATCTTTGCATTTACAAGTCCCAGCTGATGCTGGTCAGCATCACCGACGACCACTTGCTAATTTTGGCAGACTGAGCTGCTGTTACTGGCTCGGCACGCGAGGACTGCTTGGAAAAAACAAAACCCAAAACCACACCTTGACCAGAGCCACTATCATCTATTATGGGACCTGTCCCACTGCTAAACAAAACACTATGCTTCTATTAAAAAGGATTGCTCTGTAAAAATATTTGCACACCTGTGGCAATCAGGGCCAATTGTCTGCAATCCATAGACTCTGGATTACAAAACGGTGACATGACAAGCCCCTGGCAGCCAGAGGTTGCAGCTTGCTAGGTGCTTGGCCACTTCCCTATTTTTGTAGTTCCAGGAACTAAGAGTTCTGGCCACTCCTTGTGCCTTTTAGCACCTGGTAGATCTGGCAAAACCCTTTTTTTCACAATGATGGAATTTGCCCTGTCACATCTTCATGTCTGTAGCTGAAGTAGCTCCTGAACACATCAGAGCAGTGTCTGGTGGTCCAATTGAAAAGGATCGGTGAGTCACAGGAAGTAATCTCAGCCCATGTCAACATGGACAAACAAGTAGATTTACAATTCAGAGGTTAAGGTTTCGCATTCATTGTGTGAAGATGAATTTAGGAGCCAAGGAATCAAAGTTCCAGATTTGCATGGGGGAAAATAAGATAATATGCCAGCTTTTGAATCATTGTGAATGTTTGCTTCAAGTCTGCCTTAGAACCAGAGTCCAGAACTGTTTTGGAGCTCTGTGCATCACACTTGCTGTGGAATGGTCAGAGCTCTGGCTGCACAAGTATTTGAAGTCTGGTCGAAGAAGGTTTCTGTCTGGGCACCAGCTCCTTTGTGTCCCCTCTGAAGATGTGGACTACAGAGTTGGTCAGCTCCGGCTCCTTCATGTTCGTCTGTATGTTCACAGGAGGTGATGTCACTATGGTGCGCACACTTAGCGTGCACACCAAAAGACCCCAGAAAGCAGCCTGGAGCCCCCCACTGGCAGATGGTAAGGACCTGGCAACCCTAAATATCTCTCACTGAGCTTCATATATGAACAAAAATTTGAACTCAGGACTTCTTGGTTCCCTCTGGCATCAGTCTAACATCCTGTGG